GCTTCTCCCGGTGCTCCGAAGCGGGGCGGGGGGTGGGAACACCTGCCCCAGCCGCCCCGCTTCGGAGCGCTGCTCCGAAGCGGGGCGGGGGGGCGGGAACCTCGCACCCCGCCGCCGGGCATCGGAACGATGCCCCGATGCCGGGCGGTGGGGCGGGAACCTCTCCCCCCGCCGCCGGTCATCGGAACGATGCCCCGATGCCGGGCGGTGGGGCGGGAACCTCTCCCCCCGCCGCCCGGCATCGGAACGATGCCCCGATGCCGGGCGGTGGGGCGGGAACCTCTCCCCCCGCCGCCGGGCATCGGAACGAGGTCCTGGACCTCTTCTGAAGGCAGGCGGGGGCAAAAGTCTTTGCTCCCCCGCCTGCCTTCCCGGGACAGCGGAGACTTCTCCGCTGCCCCGGGCGATCTTAAAATGCTGGCGGGTGGGAGCGAAGCGTTCGCTGCCGACCCCCAGCATTTTAAAATCTCCTCGGGGCAGCGGAGACTTCGCTCCCGCCCGCCAGCATTTTAAAATCGCCCCGGGACAGCAGGGGCTTTTAAAATGCTGGCGGTCGGCAGCAAAGCCCTCCTGTCCCCGGAGCTTGCGGGGCGGGAGGTGGGAAGAAGGGCTTTTCTTCCCACCGCCAGCCTTCAGAACAGCCTTCTGAAGGCTGGCAGTGGGAAGAAAAGCCCTTGTCCCCCCCCCCCAGCCTTCAGAAGAGGTCGGGGGACAGACTGTCCCCGGACCTGGTCTGAAGGCGGTTTCCCTAGGAACGCATTAATTGATTTTCAATGCATTCCTATGGGAAACCGTGCATCGCAAGACGAAAAACTCGCAAGACGAAGAGACTTGCAGAACGAATTAATTTCGTCTTGCGAGGCACCACTGTACTTTTTATATAGTCAATATAGGCACAGAGTTAAATTTTTTAACATTTTCTAATGGTGGTGTGCCTCGAGATTTTTTTCATGAAACAAGTGTGCCTTTGCCCAAAAAAGGTTGGGAAACACTGATCTAGACTGAGCAGGATGCCATCGTTGCAATGTAAAGTGGTAAAAGCCATCTGTTAGAAAAGACTGGTGATAAGGCAACAAGATCATACTGAGTCCCATGCTGATTACAGGGGGGATCAACAAGGTGCAACACGCAAGCATCTGTAGGATAGGAGGCAAATTCCTTAGAGCAGGGGTGAGCAGAAGCTAGATCAAGATGCAATGGAAAATCTCTGGGTGCTTTGCAGTAGGTTGACAAGGATTTCCAAATCCTAATTGTTCCACAACAGCAACAACAAAATGACACACACCTCTGATCTAGTGGCATATTTTGAAGTGCAGAAGCTCATCATGACAGCCCTGATATTCACAGCTGCAAGGAGAGTTTGAAATGCATAAATCACACCCACACATCGCAGTTCTGACTGCAAAGGTTCAACCTGGAGTTTATGGGGTTTTAGGTGAGGGGTAGTACAACTGGTAAGGGAAAAGTTGTGTTCCTTCTGGGCTAAGTTGTCCACCTTTGGTCCCCACCTTGCACTCAGCTCTCACCTGTGACTCCTAGAAGCTGTCAATGCCCTGGGAATGGCCTTGACTGGCAAGCTAAACCAGTCAAAGATAGTCAATGGGCCTCAAACCCTTGGTGAGTTAGGGACTGCATGTGAAGACAGGCTCTGGCGGGTTGAGCGGACAAGACCAATAGTTGGTTCAAAGGGTCAGGAAGGCAGTTTCCGCACATGCTGAAGGGGCTTGTCAGCCTGTCAAGGTAGCCCATCTAAGAGAAGAAAAACTCTGGTCCTAAATCTCCGCTGTCTTGCAAGATATCTTCAGGAGAATAAAAGGCTAAGGAGTAACCCTATACAAATCTGGAGTGGCGTCTCTAAGAAGGTTGAATGGCACCATGTATTCCTCCTTCCAGAAACTCCTGCAGCCAAGCTGGTGCCAAACAAATTGTTCTGCTTTCTTTTGGACTACATCAGGGAGGCCAAGAGTGGGGGTCTTGTTGTCTTGGCAGCCCAGGACCTCCATACACACTGCCCAAGCTTGCGCCCCAGCACTTTGGTGTTGCTAACATAGCGTTTTGACTTCACCCCCAAAGGCACACTCCATTGTCTCTCGAGACAGATGGATGCCAACCATTAGGTTCAACTTGTAAAACACATTGAGCTCACTCAAATGCAACCTTCAACTTTTAATTGGAAACACAAACAATCTTGCAAGGAGTTGTTACCATTTAAACTGCTAGCAAGAAGAACTCTGGGCCCCTCCAGACATGCTTTTTATTGCACATTCTTGATGATTTGTGTTCATGATGCTATTGGAACAGTCACATGCAATCGTGTTTTCAGTACTGTTTATTATTTTATTTTCATTCTTCATTTCATTTCTATACCACTTTATATTTTTAAGCGGGAAAATCTCAAAGTGGTTTACAGCCTACATTAAATAAAACAATCCAGAAAAACATATTACAGGAAAAAGTCAAATATTAAGTATACGTTCAAAGCAACATCATTAACAGGAAACTAAAATACTGTCTTAAAGATTTCAAAATAAAACATTACAAATGAGGTCAAGTCCCTATGATGTCTGAGCATGGAGAGTGGTTTGTTTATTAACTAGCTAGTCAGCACAAGTCAGCATCTGAGAAAACAGTTTGTTTAATTACTTCGTGGGAATCAAACGACAGTTTCTGAGTTCAGGTATCATAAGGGGAAATGTGGTTAGTGTAAAACTGGGAACAGACAACCTTGGTTTCCTCTTCTGGTGTACAAAAGAGAGGGGAAAGGGAAGTATGCAAGCCTGATGTTCAGTGCAGCTTGTTCACATTGTAGCGGGGAGTCAGTTTTCTGTTACGGCTAAATCAGACAAATATAGTCTTTGTTTCCCTTGTAGGGATCAGTAGGTCAGCTGGGCATGGGTATTGCCATTATATGCTGAATACCAGGAGTACATACCCTCCACGGGCCACACTCCCACACAAGATCACATCTCCGGCAAAAGCACCTTTTGGGGGGCAAGATTGCATGAGATTGTGGCACCCAAAATGGCTGCCATGCTCTCACATGAAAAAACAAGATGTCCCCATTTTATCAGAACAGTTAAGGGCAGGGCTCCCCCCTCCCAGCCGGAACTCGCCGGAACTCAGTTCTGGCACCTCTCAGGTGGGCACCATTGCCTTTATAAGAAAACAAGGAAGGCATTCATGGTGAGTTCCAACACCTCTTTTTCTAGAAAAATAACACTGGTTTGAGGGGTATGGGAGTAGACAATGCAGTGCCCTCCAGATGCCACAAGACTAAAACTCCCATAATCCCTGACCATTTGCTATGCTGGCTGGGGCTTCTGTTGTTTGTTCCTGCAAAAGTGTCAGGGTGGTCGCACTGCTTCATTTCCAGTGTGCTTATCCTGTAACCTCCTGCTGAAATCCAACACATTTTTATACCACAACTATTCTGGTTTACTTTTTTGTACTGCTTTTCTTGCACCGTAGTCCTTCCAAACAGCAATCATGTGGCAGCATTGGGGAAGCTTCACAGAACAAGGTAAAGCAGAATAAATTCACCACTGATGCGCTATTATTGTGTCAGGATCAATAATAAGTTGCACAATACACCACCGTTAAAGCAGCCTGGCATATGGGGACCAAGGAGCTGTGACAAAAGTTCAATGAAAAACGTGATTTGGATTATTTTAAATATTTTTTAAAATGTTTCCTCTGCTTGCAATCCCAGGTTGCTCGAGTCATGCCAAACACAAGCTTTTACTTTTCTATCCTCCGGAATCCCATTCATCTCATGGAATCATCCTTCGCCTACTACAAAGGGTCCTCTGCCTTTGCCAAAGCCAAGAATTTAGAGGAGTTTCTCAATGACACCTCCAAGTTTTACAGTGCCTCAACCAGTGATAGCCAGTATGCCAAAAACCTAATGACGTTCGATTTTGGCTATAACCACAACGGGAACTTCTCCGCAAAGAATGTCCAGCTCATGCTGAGAGCCATTGAGGCCCAATTTGACCTTCTCCTCATCTCAGAGTACTTTGACGAATCCATGGTGCTGCTGAAGGAGGCCTTGTGCTGGGACCTGGATGATGTGGTCTCCTTCCCTCTCAACAGCAGAGACAACAGCTCAAAGTCCCACCTTTCCAAAGACACCATAGAGAAGATAAAAAGCTGGAACAAGTCGGACTGGGAACTCTATGTGCATTTCAACAGGACCTTTTGGGAGAAGATAGACGGGCACATGGGCAGGGAGCGCATGCAGCAGGAAGTGAGGGCGCTGCAGCAGAAGCGGGAACAGCTGGCCAAGATTTGCCTTCAAGAAGGTGGCAGCGTCGCCCCTATGAAGATCGCAGACCCAGCACTGGCCCCGCTGCAGTATGGCAAAGCAAAAATACTAGGCTATAACATAAAGCCTGGGCTGGATAGGGCAACAAGGCAGATGTGCCAACATCTAGTGACACCTGAGCTTCAGTATAGTAGCCTCCTGTATAGGAAACAGTTTCCCCAGAAAACTTTGACACCCAGAAACCCAGCTCACTTGCCAAATCTATACAACCGCAGGGCAGTTTGAGAACAAATCTGTGAGACACGTAGGAACAAGGTTCTGATCATAGTCGACATCAGGACTAAAGCATGGTCACCTGCAAAATATGATAATGTCTAGCACAAGTCACCTACTACCAGGGCCTTTAAAAATGGTATTTTGACCCACATGGGAATCAAAATCCACCTATTCCTGTGCTGCCTCCCACCCTTCATCTGTAATACCAGAGTCCCTACAACTTCCCCTCTTCTAAAGAGCCAGTGTGGTGTTGTGGTTAGAGTACTAGACTAGGGCCTGGGAGACAGGGGTTCCAATCCCCACTTAGGTGGTCTTGAGCCAATGACTGTTTCTCGCTGTAACCTACCTCAAAGGGTTGTTTGGGGGGTTAAATGAGGAGGGGGGGAGAACCATGTCAGCCACCTTGAGCTCTTTTGAGAAAAAACTGGGCAATCAATCATTCAATAAGCAAGCTGACTCTGGGAAACCACTATACAAATGTAAAAGAATACAAAATAAAAATGCTAGATGTAACCAAGCAATAATTAATTCACATTAAGTTGAACTGAACAAAAATCTATTTTATTAGCAATTGGCTTATCACCAAACATCAAGAACTGCCAATAGGGAAGGAATTTCTAAGAGATATAAATAATACCTCCCCCAGCCCCAAATCCTGACAACCAACTTGAAATTAAGTTTTGTGTGGGTCAGTACATTAAAGGATTTCTCATCGTGTGTGGCCAACTCTACTCTGATGACTACTTCCCCATCTGCTATTAGAGTATTGGTTCTATTTGACACTTTCAATATGACCACAAGGTCCTTTTAAACTATCACAATCATGTCTCTTGCAGGGGAGGGAGAGATAAAGCAGACACAAGATGGAAATGGACACTTTTCAAAGGCAAACTGATTTCAAGGACAGAGTTAAGAATGGATTTCCATAGACGATCAGGGCTTACTCCCCCCAAAAAATATGCAAAGTAGGATTGTAGTCTTACAGAACAATCTTAACCATGCTTCATCAGAAGCAGAAATGAGCCCTATTGAATTCAGTGGGGCTTCTAGACAAGTATGTGGAGTTAGACTTGCAGCCTTAGTGCTTAATTTAGCTGGATCATACTTCTAATTTGTAACGAGGGCAATCAGTTGGCATTTAAGCAATTGAACGAATTGTTTACCTTACTCATTGTTTACAGAGAGAGATGTGCTTTCCCCATTGCAAATGGCTTAATTCAGATCAGCTGATAAGAACACATTGTTAAGAGTTATGCAAGGAATATATTGAATGACTGTGTATTTATTATCCCTTATGTACTCAAGGGTAGAGAAAGTGAGGGTGCAAAAGGATACAGGGTAAGTTCAAGGTGCAACACAGGTGCAAGGGGCAAATTCCAGATGGAGTGTTAATTGTGAATCGGGGCTGTTCATTGACACAAACTTTCAGCGTTGTCTATGTGATGTCGCCATGCCTGTACTCTTCCCCCTGCCCAGATTGAATATGGATTTCCCTTTGCCATAAAAAGTCAGTAAGTCAATATTAGTTGACAATACAAAAGAAAGAAAAAAGTTTGTAATATGCACTGGTATTTTATGTGGATTCTTTTTGGAAATTTAATAAAAATACTTTTTTTTTAGCCAGTAAGTCAGCTGCTGTACATCTGCTGTCACCGCTGGAAGCTTATTAGAAACATTTTGGGGTGGGAGCACTCAGTTCTCTTGACTGTGGTTTGTTTAAACTGATTTAAAGATTGTGTTTTTAAATTGCTGTAACCCACCCTGAGACCTCATGGTAAAGGGGAGGTGAAAAATCTAATAAATAAGCAATTGCACACACACAAAAGCTGTTGCACACTTCCAGTGCATTACACAAGTGCAAAAAATACCCAGGGATTTTTTCAGCCAGAACTCACCAGAACTCAGTTCCAGCAGCTCTCGTATGGAATCATATGATTCATATGAAATCAAATATATGATTTAAGTGTCAAACCCTTAATAACACATACGAAGGAATCCTCAGTTATGCAGTAGTTCTGTTTCAGGGTCAGTTGGATGCATGTAAATCCCTTCTGGTCCGATCCGGTCTATTTTGCCCCCACACTAACAAATTCTGATCCTATTCTGCCCCCACCAGCTTTCAGTGCCAAAAACGTCACACATGTGTACGGTCCCTTGCGACTTGAATGCATGTGAGTTGCGAGTTGCCTGTACATTCAAGAATGCCAAAGATCCCACCATATTATATAATGGGGCTGGGGAACTTGGACTACAGCTCCCATCATCCTTTCCCACTTTGCCAAACTGTGTGGGGCTGATGGGAGCTTGGGTCCAACAACATACAGAGGGCCACAGCCCCCTCCCTTATTTAATCCCATATCACAGAACATAAAGACAGCCAGTGCTTTTTTTCCTTAGGGGTACTTTCATTTTGCCTCAAGAAAATAGTTCAAATCGGGGGAAATAAATACAGTAAATGGACAAAAGTACAAAGATTCATAAAATGTTTTGGGGTATGCGTACCCCTGCGTACCCATAGGAAAAAAGCACTGAAGATAGCTAACTTTCTCTGGGTGGGGGCCACAAGGTACTACATCATCCCACCCATTCATAAGAATGCTACAGAATGAAAAATATCCCGAACAGGGCACTAAGAAGAAGACAACCTGAATGTATGGAATGTTAAGGGTCTTAACTTCTACAGACCTTTGAAGGACCTAGCTCAACGCAATACACTGGTGATATGGCAGCACATGAGAGATGACTTTTTGTCCCTCTTTCTAGCCGGAATGCACTACAAGCGACCTCAGGAACACAGAGAGATGCTCAAGGTCTTCTTCCTCATGCCAAATAATAACAATCAAAGACTGAAAGGACCCCCAGTGCCATCCACCAATGCCAATCTCTTTCACTCTGTTCTGTCCGATGGTCCTGAGCAGCTGGTCGCCTTCTGTGCTTTTGGCTGTCTTTGTTCAGCACCAGACAATGGAATTGCTTTTCCCTTGGGGATCCTGTATTTGTTCTTTTGACTGTACAGCAGGTTTGTCTGAAAGAGTCGTGGGATGTTCCCCCGATACACGAACAGAGCTACCAGCATCCCTGGAAGAGAGTCAATAACAAGGAAGACTTAATCAGTCTGCACAAAATGTCTGATCAGCTTATTGCTAGAATGACCTTATAAAACCTGCAGGGATTGCAACTATTTGTGAAAAGACTCTGAGGCCTTCATACAAGGGCGCCTTCACTATAGGCAAGCTTGCTCCAGATTAGAAGAACCTAATGGGGCATCAAACACATCTTATCTTGAATTAGAGAAGAGAAATAAATCTTTCTGAACTGCCATTTTGTACCCATTCATTTTTTATTTCATTATATTAGTTTGCTTTTGTTTTAGAAAACAGTATGTTGATTTTGTCAAAGACTTTCTAAGACAACATTGCTGGCAATTAAGATAAGAACTATAAACTTGCAAAGACTTTCAAGGCAGAACAGAACAATTCTGTTTATGTTTTGTTGCTGTTCTTGTTTAATAGTTTAGTTGTGTCCGACTCTTCATGACCCCATGGACCAGAGCACGCCAGGCACTCCTGTCTTCCACTGCCTCCCACAGCTTGGTCAAACTCATGTTCGTAGCTTCGAGAACACTATCCAACCATCTCGTTTTCTGTTGTCCCCTTCTCTTCTCTTCTCTCCCCTTCTCCTTGTGCCCTCAATCTTTCCCAACATCAAGGTCTTTTCCAGGGAGTCTTCTCTTCTCATGAGGTGGCCAAAGTCTCGGAGCCTCAGCTTCAGGATCTGTCCTTCCAGTGAGTACTCAGGGCTGCTTTCCTTAAGAATGGATAGGTTTCAGCTTCTTGCAGTACATGGGACTCTGAAGAGTCTCTTCCAGCACCATAATTCAAAAGCATCAATTCTTCGGCGATCAGCCTTCTTTATGGTTCCATACATCACTACTGAGAAAACCATAGCTTCAACTATATGGACCTTTGTCAGCAAGGTGATGTCTCTGCTTTTTAAGATGCTGTCTAGGTTTGTCATTGCTTTTCTCCCAAGAAGCAGGCATCTTTTAATTTCATGACTGCTGTTACCATCTGCAGTGATCATGGTGATCAGTGTTTATGTTTAGTCAGCCCTAAATAAGGGGAAGAGAGCAGAGGCTGCAGGCTGGGGAAGAATGATGAAGATTTCTGGGTCATGCTCTGTTACATGTTCATGACTTTGGCTGGCTCATAACATACAGAATTTCATTCTCGGCTGCTAGGCAGCGGATTTTAATTGTAGTTTCTATGTTTTAATTTGTTTTAAAGCAGTAGTCTTCAAACTTTTCAAAGCTGTATCTGGCACTTTTTTAAAAAAAATCTTATTTTTCTTGATCATTCTACCTCCTTAAATAAATAAACATAATACTTTTTTATGACAACAAAACCAACTTTGTTTCATTTACTGCTTGCTAGTTTTTGTTAAGAGCAAGCCTGTGTACACACACACACACACACCTTAATTTAATGTTTCCATAGCAGCTGAAAAATTCCCATGTTCATGGTCAGAAATTCACAAATTGCTTCAGAATTGTGGAGGACTGAATTTAAATCTGGAAAAATTAAAAACTGACAGAACCAAAACTGATGGATCCATTCATTCCTACCCCTAATGGAGTTTGTCTTCTCTTTCCCAGGAATTAGGGGGATGCATTTCAAAAGATGCCTTGCTAGCTTCCTGGAAATGTTCACACTCATCTGATCTGACTGCTTGAGATGCATCTCCCAGCTTCTTTCAATTTTCTACTCCTGCTACTTTGCCCCACCTCCCAAAAGGTCTGCAGCCATTTACACAAAATTTTAAAAAGAATTATAGTGATCCCCCACTAGTCTGGTTGGGACCCACTTGTTTCAGTGAGATAAACTACAGTCAGATATAAACTACCAACCCATGGCCTGGGCCTTAGAATAACACCAAATAAATCAAAATAAAGCTAGTTCGCCAGAAGCGGCTTAGTCATGCTGGCCACATGACCCAGAAGCTCCCTCGGCCAATAAAGCGAGATGAGCGCCGCAACCCCAGAGTCGGCCACGACTGGACCTAATGGTCAGGGGTCCCTTTACCTTTTAAATAATAATAATAATAATAATAATAATAATAATAATAATAATAATAATAATAATAGATTTTTATTTATACTCCGCCCTTTAAACACTTAAAACACTTAATTATAAAAGCAGCATAAAATACGGTATAAAAACATGAATAACAATAAAATTCAAAAATCAAAAATCAATTAGATAATCCCCAGGCCTAACTGAATTGGTCCTACTTGGGCCAGCGAGGAGGCCAGGGGAGAATTAGCTGTGGGGTCTCAGAGAGGGTGATCTTCATAAAAAGGGAGGGGGAGGGAAAAGAAAGGAAATAAAAGATCAGGCTGAATTCAAATTAAAGGTCAGGCGGAATAGCTCTGTCTTACAGGCCCGACAGAAGGAGGTTAAATCCTGAAGGGCCCTAGTCTCATGGGACAGAGCATTCCACCAGGTCGGAGCCATCACTGAAAAGGCCCTGGCCCTGGTGGAGGATAATCTGACTTCCTTAGGATGCAGAACCTCTAAACTATGGTTATTCATGGACCTTAAGATCCTCTGCGGGGCATACCAGGAGAGGCGGTCCCATAGATACGAGGGCCCTAAGCCACAAAGGCATTATTTTAGGCATTATTCGTCTGTACTACAAAATTTTGTCACAGCTGCAACCATAGTTGTATCTTCCACTGTCTCGAAATCTTGACTTACCTGCAGTGGGCCCCAACCAATACACTTGCATATACTCTGGTAAGCTGTTCCCAGAACAGGAAAAAGTCACAGCAAATGCCAGGGCAGGGTTAAAAAAGGCTCCTGTGAAAGGTGCAGCTGCAGGAAGAGAAATGCAAACAGTTCAATCCACCTAATCAAATTGGCTTAGACACCAACATGTGCATGATAAGATCTATTAAACTGACATGATGAAAGGTGTTTAGTTTGAAACAAGAACAGAAGAATCTGGGAATTTAATCTGAAGTATTGAGTTGCAACTCTGCTAGCTAGCAACTCAGGAAAGCAACATGCCCTGGGCCAGTGCTGTCTCTCTCTGGGAAGATCCATACCAGACATTTAAGGCACATTCAACCCAACCTGAAACTACATGACGTCCCCCAAAGAATCCTGGGAATTGTAGTCCGTCCCCCACAGAGCTACAATTCCCAGCACCCTTAAACTACTTTAAGGATAAGATGGTTCCCCCCTGCCGCACCCCATCACCAATTCCATTTACAGAAGCTGACAGCAGTCATACCCTCTAACATTCTTCAGATGAAAATTGGGACATTTCTCACTCCCTGTCCAATTGACCCTCTTCTACCCCACATTTTGTGTATCACCCCCACCCAAGAGCATTTCTTATCAGGAGAAGGGTAAGTGCCACCAACAGGGCAGCACACACACCCTCCACTGTCCTGCGAAAACTCCTTAATCCCGGTTTTATTTTATTCTTTGGTAGATTTACAAAAAGAAAAATGCACAGCATAAATAGATTTTAGAAAGGGTCAAGACTGGACATGGACACACAAAGCATTAAAAAAAAAATCAAGACTCCTTGAGCTCTGCTCCCCCTTTCTTCCCACCCAGGGTATCCTTGCCTTCTGTCTGCCCCTCAGAGTCAGTGCATTATGTAGGGCTGGGCGGCAACAGCCTCTCCTCCCACCAGGCGCTGAAGAAGGTTGAGGAATAGAGATAGAAAGCCCTCTACTTCTGAGCACAGAATTCATTCAGAGACCCAGTGCAGGGTGGAGGGAAAGTTCTGGAAGGACCTAGACCTTTGATGAACAAACAGAGAGCAGTAAGACCAGCGATGTTGTATCTTCAGGAAGCCTTGAGTAGAATGGGCACTGTGACACATCTATCCTCAGCAGCAAGAGATGCTACAGCCTCCCATTCTTCGGTTAGGAGCTGTTTGAGAATCAATGAATCAAAGAGCAAATCCTCCTGGTCCCATTTTTCAGATCCCCTATAACTGTGGCTTCTAGCGGCCTCTATCACTGTCAGTCTCAAGCACCACCTTCGCTTCTTATTCCCAGTATCTCACCCTTTATACTGCCCTTAGGCATAAAGAAAATTATTTGAAAATACGGGAGGATATTAAAAGAAACCTGCAAATATGGGGTAGAATGAAACTTGCATTGCTGGGTAGTGTTGACTATAAAAATGAATGTATTACCAAGAATGTTATTTTTGTTTCAATCAATACCGGTGACTGGCAAGACAGATTGTTTCAACATATGGCAAAAGTCATTTCTAAATATATCGGGCAATGGGAAAAACAGAGAATAAAATATGGAGAGATGCAAAAGAGAGGTTTTCCCCTGCTGGTTATGAGATTATATTATGAAGGATTTTGTCTGTGCTGGTTGAAGGAATGGTTGATATTAAAGAATCCTCACATTTTAGATTTGGAAAGTCATGATAATATTTTTAGATGGCATGCATATTTGTGGTATGAAAAGGTGAAAGTACCTATAGGATTTACAAACCATATAATTAGGAAAAAACTCTATAGGGTATGAGATAAATACAAAAATCTATTGGAGACCAAAATACCACTCTGGCTTTCACCATTAGAAGCCATAGCGGTGAAGAAGAATATGATGGAAGGTTGGGCAACTTACAGAAATTTATTAAGAGAGGAGGGTGGGAGAATTTAAATTAAAAGAGTTTAAGGATCTATCAGGAATGTTAACAACATGGATACAATGCCATCATTTGAATGAAGTATTTAATAAAGATATGAAACATGGGTTTGGGCAACAATTATTACAACTGGAGAGAGACCCATTAGACTGCAATGTTAAAGTGATGTCTAAAATGTGTAATATTATTGGAATGGGAGACAAAAGACAAGCAAGTGAAATCTTCAGTGATACATTAGGCAATAGATATTGGTCATAATATAGAAATACAAGCATGGGAACGATTATGGACTATGGATATAAACTTTACAGCAAGCTATGGTTTAAGAGAAAATTACATAAAAATGTTATATCTAACACCTAGTAGATTGGCAAAAATGTATAAATCAAAATTGAGTAAGTGTTGGAAATGTAAAGACAAAGGCACATTTTTTCATATGTAGTAAGGATTTACAAGGTTAATTTTTTTCATATGTAGTAAGGTTAGGGCTTACTGGGAAATGATACGTAACAAATTGAAAAGGATGGTAAGGTAACATTTATTTTTTCAAATTTTTTTTAAAAGAAAATAGAAGCATTTCTCTTGGATATTATAAGAGTGGAACTACCTAAACAGTATAGAAATTTATTTACGTATGCAATGACAACTGCAAAAATGTTATTTGCCCCAAAATGGAAAGAAGTCCTGACGAAAGAAGAATGGCTACAGAAACTTGGGAAGAATAAGAAATCAAGACAAAAAACTTTTTATAAGGGAATGGAAATGGTTTATTGAATATTTACAAATTGTAAACAGATTAAGACATTGGCAGGATTACTGTAATAACTTGCAGTTTCAAAAGAATATATGAAAACAGATTAATAAAAGAATAAGTTAAGATAATTTGGAATACGTAGGAAATGATGAAAATAAATTTAAGGAACCGCAGAAAGAGGAGGAAGGAAGTTGAGATTTGAAATGATAGAATTATTGTTGAACTTGTGTTGAAATGTATATAAATGAAAATTATAAATAAAATTATATATATATATATTTTAAGTCACACAAGCAAATGACCCTTATTTACCGCATGGCCAATTCCATTTATATACAAAAGCACAGCACAGATTAAATTGTTTGGTGAAGTTTCTGAACATATAACATTGGGAAGAGGAGGAGACTAGCTTTGAATCCTTACCTGTGTAGGCCAAGGCAGTAACAGTGAGTGCAACGAAAGGGGCTCTGTACATGGGAGAACTGGATCGGAACCTGAGAATCGCTACGTTGAAAAAAAATGAGCATGTGGCCTCCACAAAGATGCCATGGGAGACAGATGTTCTGAGCGATGAGCTGCAGTCTTGGACCATTATGTTTTGAATCATGTGGAAGTCTGTCAGTTCCCTGGACCAATATAGCTTGGTCAAGGCATCAGCTGCTATCATCCCCATAAACTGGACCAAGAGCTTGGAAACTGTGACCACAAAAGGAGAATTCAAAGCTAAAAATTCCTGGAGGGAGACGGCAGGGTTGGCAGAAGCTCCATCAAAAGAAGCACCATGAACCAAGAAGAGAAGGAAGAGGAGTGTGAAGCTCACATCTGGGCCAAAGCCACCAACCCATGGACCAATCTCCACAAGCATCTTTAGCTCCAGGCAGCAAGCACACAGCTGGAATGAGCTGGCCAGTTCGCTAGCAAAGCACGAGTACAGCTTAGGTGGAAAAATTCTCTTGGAGAGCCTCCTGGTCACCTCACAAAGGGCGACAATGGAGAAGAAAAAGGCTATGGAGACGTTCAAACCAGCCATGCTGGAAGTCACACAGAAGATGGGAGGTGCCCTGTAACGCAAGGATCGACACTGCTTAAAAGAGAGAGAGGGATAAGGATTAGCCCACACCTGCTGTTCTTCCACAGAAAGGCATTTTTAAGCAAACGTGGCAAAAGCTGACAGGTCAGTAGGGTCACAGAAGTCTCTGGGAAAACCAACACATTTTGACACCATAGTGCAACTGCCTCGGACAGAGCTACTCCCTTATCACTGCCACATCATCAATAGCCAAGATCTCATTTTGACTCTTCTATGATTACCACCAACCCAGTCAAAACGTATTAGCTAGAACACAAAGAAACTGGTTCGGAAAGCAGTAAAACCAGTAAGTAATTTAATATTTCAATCCAGCATTGTGACTCCAGGAGCACATTTGAAATCTTTGCTCTTGCAAACAAAGTTAATTTTTTACAGCTGAGGACGATATGCTCCTGGGGCTCATTTACCTTCATTCTTACTGCCTGGGTTATTGGCTATTATCACCAGTTACACATACACACAGCCCAGGCATTTAGGTTCAATAGTATTTAGGTTCTTTGGACTGTGGCGTTTATTTTTAGTTTGTCTCTGGTCACCTTCACAATGTTTTCTTCATACCAAACCAATAAGACACACAACTAAGCATGAAGAGTGAATAAAGAGATGAATTATGGACCCACAAAATTCAGGTTCTTGAGTAAACAGGAAGGCAATCTCATGCCATGATTAGAGTGCCTGGCTGAGCAGGAAGATCCAGATTCAAATACCTACTCCGATATGAAGCTTGTTCTATCTCACACGCTCTCAAGGAACCAACCACAAATGGTTATTTTGGGATCTACGGAGAGGGAACCACATAACAGGACACTAGGCTCCTTGGATAAAAATGAAACACGTGGAACAAAAATGAAATATGTGGTAAGCAAGGTGCAGCTCTGTAGAATTTGCCTGAGGGTGTGAAGCAAGACTAACTTCTAGTGATTGTTCCTCCACGTGATTCCAGCTCTGAAATTCTTCGCCACTTTTCGCACTTCATCCTTCTTATCCACCTCATTGGCAATTTATAGGTATTCACAGCATGTACAGAATTTGGGCCCCATAAAGCTGCCCCCTCCAGTGTTTAGTGTATGTTGTAAACTGAGAGAACACCTTGTAAACATGACTAAAAAATAATGAATTGCCATTGCTAAAATCTAGTATTTTATATTTTTGTGTTCTTCCCACTCTTCATTTCTCCTACCTCGATTAAAGTCACTGGAGGCGGGTCTATCAGGGTAACAAGGGCTTAGCCCTACCATGTAAATTATCACACAATTTTTAAGAGAGTTTCCATCAAAATCTCAAAGCCACTCTTCTGTGAATCTCCAGTTCTCTGGTCAATCAGTTTTCTGCATCACCCAGATTCTCATAGCATTGCTATGACCAGAAGACTCCATCCATTTATCACCAAGCAGGAATAAAACATGATAGTAAATCTGTATAATAATAATAATAATAATAATAATAATAATAATAATTGTCCAGTAGCACCTTAGAGACCAACTAAGTTTGTTCTGGGTATAAGCTTTTGTGTGCATGCACACTTCTTCAGATACCTTCAGATATCTGTATGTTAATGGAGCTACTAGCTCTTAGCCCTAGGTGTGCAGTTCTCCTCTCCCTCCTGGGTGGCAATCCAGCCACATTAGCAGGTTACTTTTCTGATAAACCCAGGAGCCAATGTTCTGAGCATGCTCAGAACAGTTTCCTTAAAGGCTACACTTAATACAGTAGCCAAGCTCAGAGAACCCAGCTTCCCGTTTGATTCTTTATTGCCCTTTTCAGAATCTTGTTTGTAAAGCAATTAGATTGGTTTCTTATTTTTTACTCATACTTTTTTTTAATGGATGTGGATGGAGACAATTTACTTTTCAAAACGTGTGTCTGCCACATTTCTAATGAGTTAACCTCATTAGAAGCTGATGGCGTTAAGAAGATCACACAATAATGCTAAAGAGGGCGAAGAGGATAGAAGGAAAAAGGCGGCTGGCAAGCTTTCTTTCTTTAGGTGCATGGTAGGGCTTTTTTTTTTAAGCTATCACTTGATGCTGTGTGACTTGCAATTTTTTTGTAAAACTTGGACTGGAACTGCTCTGGGCTCTGGTGAAGTAGAACACAGAAAACAGTGGATTCCCATAACATTACATGAATTCCCTTAACATTTCAGTAACTACTTTATACTGGTGCTAGAACCACTTGTTTCAGGGCGGTGTCCCTTGGCATTTTGGTAAAAGAATGGCAGTAACTCCATGTATCACATGACTGACACAGGCAATGAAGGGTTGTATCTAAAGCGGGTCCTAAGTTAGTCATGTTCAACAATTTCAGTGGGGCTACTGTAAGTAGGATTAGCATTGGATACAACCCAGTGAGTTTATATTTTAGACTGAAGTTACCCGTGGTGGAATCATTTTATTAAATATAAACAGATTCTCACTGGGAAGGCAAAAGCACTCTGGGCAGGCTTGTTCAATTTATTTCTGAGGATCAACACTGTAGGAGCCACATCCAACTGTACAATCTCTGCACACTCAATTATGAATCAAGTACAGTGGTACCTCGGGTTAAGAATTCGTTCCGGAGATCTGTTCTTAACCTGAAACTGTTCTTAACCTGAAGCACCACTTTAGCTAATGGGGCCTCCTGCTGCCGCCGCACCGCCGGAGCACGATTTCTGTTCTCGTCCTGAAGCAAAGTTCTTAACCTGAAGCACTATTTCTGGGTTAGTGGAGTCTGTAACCTGAAGCGTCTGTAACCTGAAGCATATGTAACCTGAAGCGTATGTAACTCGAGGTACTACTATAACTGGTGTTGGGTTGCAGACCTACCCAGAGTAAATCCAGAAAGGGGACAAAAGTCTAAGCAGGCCTGGGGCAATCACATGGTGCTTTATCTTTTCTGACATCTTGAGCTGGTCCCAGGGTACTAGATATAATGGACACTCCCGATTCTTAACAAAACTGACAGTATCCAGAGGCAAAGGTGTGTGGTTGACTCGGTGAACCTTAACAATAGGATCATGCACAAAACATTGTAATCAAGTTATATAATTTCAAGCACATCTGCAAAATATCTAAGTTGCCAAACAGATGGCTAAAATTCATCTCCATAAAGTATCCATTAAGGGCTTTTTATACAGATGCCGAAGAACCAATTTGATCCATCAACTTGGATAACAACCTAAACAGCACAAAAATCATGGGAGCGAAATGTTCATGGCTGTTTTTACAGAATTGCTTTGAAAACAGTGCTCAGTACGAAAAAGTTGCAGCTGCTCGCTGGGTGCTACAAAAGCTTTGAAGACAAATGATAACTAAGCTGCAAGTCTACATCAAATGAACCATCACACTATATAGTATGAAACAAAAATTCTTCTCTGTCCCTATTAACTCAAGTAAGCCTCTATTGGGGGAGGGTGGGAGAGAGAATGAGAACCATCAAGCATTTTAGAAATGTTTATTTCTAGCCCTGAAAGAACAAAGTCATTAAACATAGTCAAATACAGTAGTTAATATTGCAGTAACAATTAAATAACAGAATGGGATTAAATTAAACAAAAGGCAACAAAATCTGAAGACAGGGGGGAAAAACCTGAAAGCTTGCACTACTTTCATTTCCATCTGATGAAGTGAGAGAAAGGGAACAAAGAGAAGGAAACAATTTCAAGAAGATGTACTTAATTCCAGCTACAAAGACAAAGAAATTCTGTAACTCTTAACAGAAGAGTTTAATTGACTCCAAACTACTCCAGAGAACACATATGGTGATTGCTTAAGTTAATCAGTTATATTCTCAAGTTGTTAATGTCTCCATTCAAACCAGCAAATGCTAAACTTATTTGTGGTAAGTAGTCGTGTCTATTTCAACTGGATTTTTTTGCCGGGGGGGGGGGGCAGAATTGGGAACTCATCATTCCAGGTAAGCCTGCTTTCATGGAATGAGATACCCTTCTCTATCCTTCTCTCCTCCTTGTAGGTTCACACCAATAACCGTAACGTGCCATTGCAAACATGCCCAACACTCAAAGACTGATTCAGCCGAGAACGGGGGGGGGGGGGGGGGCATTTTTTGTAAGCCCAGACTGAATATTGAAGCTATGAAGTGGTTGCCCTGAACACTTCAATACATGCTCAGCTACGACCATTTCAAACTGTATGTTGAAATGTTTTTATTGCATTGAACTGGGATCTGGTACGATGCTGGAGTATTCAGGATACTGTTTGAACAGCTTAACATCTAATCTAAGATGACTGTGTGAGTAAGCCGTGAGTAACTATGTGAATCGATCAATATTTACTCACATTGGTGCCTGGATATTTGGTTAAGGCATCTTTAGCAGGAAGAGCAGTTAGGAGTCAATAACCTATGCAATGTTATACTGAGTGTTCTTACTCCTGTGCTCATAAGCTATACTTCCGTGCCCAGAAGATACAATCTTGAACATTCAAAGCAGACATTAGAGGGGACGGGGAGAAAAAGACTGCCACTTTTCCACTTCTAAACCAAGCTTTAAGACACTGGCAATACATGTTCAGTCCTTGTACCATACAAACCACATGCATCGCTGCGCAATAATCAGGAACTTCCTGATGGCTCGCGTTAAACAGAGAGTTCCCATTTAGTTCATGTCTGTTTCTATCCCTAACCCTTTATTGCAATAGTGGACAGGGAAATTAGATGAACGCACTGCCGTAGTACAAAGCTGCTATACTTAAGAGCACCCATGCAGACATGCTGTGATAGTACTCATGATCATGACTGGCACAAGATTTGCCAGTGGGTCCTGCTTCAGCAAGTCCTGAGCCAACCCAAATTGTAAGCAACTTTTAAAGGAGGATTTGAGAACCCTCATGATGAGGCAGTCAACTACTCATTTAAGATAATTCTTAATCACATTAAAAATCAGTAAATGCTGCTTTTTGTTTATTTCAGAAGTGTTACCTTTAATTGCTACCATAAAAACACCAACATACACTTATCTCACAGCAGGAGTCATGGGTTCCACATATTCCATTGCCAGCAACAGACGACAGCTCAAAGGTAAGAAAAGGTAACTGAAGAGAATCCTTTAAATCTCTTTCTTTGACTCACATAAATCAAATTTAAGAGCATGGCTATTCTATACTTTATAGTAACTGTATTGCGAGTTATGGCCAGAGGAAGAACACCACCTAAAATACCACTCAGACCAGGACACCACATTTCTTGGACTAAACCAAAACACATTCAAAATGCTCTGAAAGCAACTGGGCTGCATGTTACAGTTTTCAAATGAATACTTCTCATAGGACACAGGACTGCAAGTTGGAGTATGGCACTGCTTTCATCAGCATTAATAAGGCATTTGTTGGTACAGAGCAGGGTGCAAGAAGCTCCAAGATCTGAGGGAATGGAGCCCTTTGTGATGCAATGACTCAGAACCCAGAATTTTGCAAACCTGTTCGTAAAACCCAGCAGAAATTATGCCCTTATGTCAACACATATTAATATTGTACACAGGTAAGAAGCAGGCTTTTCATTGACCATCAGGCATTAAAGGCATTAAAGACGGCCTCTTAGCTAGGGTTTTAAAATGTTCTCCCAAGAATACCACGTAGGAATGCGACAAAGCTATAGCACCAAATTAGTAAGTCTGTTATGTTACTGTTTGGCACATCACTTGGCAATTCTTGATAAAGAGCTGCACATAAAACACAGTGCTTCTAGAAGGCTGATGTGACTGAAGAATCCCCACGGTGCACCTGACCACCTCAACCAGAACTTCAATTCCTCTACAGCTCCAATTACTTTCTTTCATTTAGGGAGGCACTTTATCTTGCGTTTGTCTTCAGCCATAACAGTTGGTAAGTCTTTCAAGAGAACCATGAGAAGGCAAGGTTCTGCAGCCACTCACAAGCCAATTCAAATAATGTTGAATCGAGACTACTTTGCCATCTCCAATTGTTTGTCTCCACAGAATAGCACTTTTGGTGTTCAGAAGATTCAGCTGGCTGAATTATACAAAAAGTCTTGGATCTTCTATTTTTGAAAATCTGCTGGGTCTTTGTTAGTAGAAATGGTGAAGATATACATTTTTATACATATAAAAAGGAAGAGAGCTCTAATACTTAATCCTGACAGCTCCAAAGTTGCTTTGGAGGGGAAATGTACAACATATACAAAAGGTACTTAAGACAAAGAAGAGCAATTTAAAAATTCAGAAGGCACCAGCATAAAGCCCAAAGCCCAAGTCAGAACATGGATACAACACTTTGCTATCAAACCACACACTTTCAAGACATCCCTTTAAAATGTTACCAACAAGCCTACACAGGCAAGGGAGGAATGGAAGACAAGTCACAGGGATGGAGTTCTCTCCCCGAGCCCACGGGATGGTTTGAGCATTAACCAAGAAAAGAAAAGCAACACTTTTTTCCTCTTCCCCGCATGTATTCAATCTCCTAAATTCAGAGGCATCTTTCCCTTATGTTAAAAAGTCCACGCAACAAAATTATGTATCAGACGTTGCTGAACCTTCTTCTTCCCCTCTACTCATGTTCTTCTGTCTTTAAGAACAGTCATTGGGGAAAAAACTACAGTTCTTAGGTAGCTGGGTGGTTAATGCTACAATACAGTTATAGCTAACAATTCTACCATATCCGCCTTTTAGTAACTCAGATGTTGCAAGATTTTGAATGACTGACAAATGGAAGGGGGAGGGGGGGAAGGTCAGCAGATCAAAGTAATGCCTCCCTCCAAAAGCTTGAATCTGTTGTTCAAGTATTGAAAGTGCCCAACAGAGCACAATGAATGGGATCTGGTACAGCAAAGTCATTAAAAAAAACACCTCCCAGGCATAGGAAAATACATCGGAGTTGTCTGCAAAAGTGGTGAAAAGGCCAGTGATTCAGTTCACAACTTCTTCCAGAAGAGTTCACTACTCCCACCACCATTTTTTCTTCTCTTGTGTCTTCCAGGTGAGAGATTTTTTTTTCCCTTTTGCAGACTTTCAACCTCCCTAACAAGAGCAACAATTTATATATTATGAAAAACTTTAAAAACAAAAAAACAAAAATGATGAAGGCCACAGCAGCAATGCTAACGGTTACTCTTCATTGCTTCTTTGGCTGCTAGGATCAACGGCGTCAAGCTTGACAAAGGTTTGGCCAGTTTCAGGAAAGGATGCTATCAAAAAAGAAAAGAAACAACCTTTTAATGAAAGAACACTTAAAAGGAAACTCCAGCAGCAGCATTTTGAGTCATACACTTAGCAAAAAATGCAAAGGAGAGATGACCAGGGAGACAGGTTACCTACTGTGCTTAGGTCATACTAAAATATGATCAGTATTAGTGGGTGGCATTCAGCTAAGTCTTACTCAGAGCAGAGCTATTAAAATTAACTTATACCAAGGGTCATTGCCTTCAACAGGTCTACTCTGAGTAAAACTTAGCTGAATCCTTAGTCAATCGTTTGCAATTATTATTATTATTATTATTATTATTATTATTATCACTACTAATTTCTTTTACTACTATACTACTACTACTACTTTCTTTTTAAAAGTTGTCCAGGGAACATGCATTGATGAGTGGTCATATAAATCTACTAATAAAATTTTAAGATGTGCAAATTCTCCCAATGTACTCTATAAGAGTCAGGAGAACCCCCAGAACAATGCAACAGGGCAGGGAGAAGGGAGATTCTTCCACCTGGCAAAGAGAGAATGCTTGTGCTGACAGAACCACTGTATTAGCATAATGTGGAATTCGACCATTCTTTTTTACCTTTATGTTCCCCGTTCTATCCCATTTTTTTCTGAATTTGTTGATCATATATCAGTCTTCCTTTACAGTAGCTTGACTTGTCAACAGAAAGCACTGTCTACAACTGATGCCATTTGCAAGATACCAGCGGCTTTACCTGTAACAGTTCTTTGGCTGACCCTCTTTTCTCTACATCCATTTCCAAACAACTATTTAGAAAGTCACGAAATATTGGGGACAATTTCTCTGGGTTCTGCAATTCTGGAGTGCCGTTTGTTGCTATTAAATATAATGCCTGCAAGAACGAACAAACAGACAAACATTGGCAATATGAAAAACAAAAAATGTGGTTGTATGAGCACCTGAGTTTAAATCAGAACTGAAAAGGTCCTGAAAAATCATTCAAAATTTGTGGGTTTTTACTGTGTTTTGCTATGTTCCAGGGAATCAAGAGTTCCTTGAAAACTTATGCCTTACCCTCAAAGGGTTTTCATTGAGATATGGGGGCTCGCCTTCGACCATTTCAATAGCCATGATACCCAGGGACCAGATATCCACTTTGGGGCCATAGGCCTTTCGTGTGACCACTTCAGGAGCCATCCAATAAGGTGTTCCAACCATAGTACTACGTTTGCTCTGTTCTGGAGTAATCTGTGCACAGAAACCAAAATCAGCTACAAAAAAAGAAGAAAAGAGTGCAGTTATTGGAAAGTTAAATTAATAGTAAGTCCTACACTTTGGGTGTATCCCTGTTACCCAATTATGCTTCCAGAAAAAGCTACAGGTGTCTCAGTGCCCACACGATGCTCCTTCAACACTCCCCCCCGAAGGCATCCTTTTAGCAATGGAATCCACCACCAACAGTGGTGCAGTTCATTCTACTACTTATTAACACACATGTAGCAGAATGAGGTGGTAGAGTGGACTGTACTACTTTAAATTGTGGGTAGCAGATTCCAGATTTGAAATAATCCTCTGCATTTTTTTTTCCTTTTAAAGCCTAATACATTAAAGACACAGTAGCAACAACCCAGAAGACAAGTTCTAGCCCAAACCATTCCATGTGTGCTAGTTTTGTATTTGGCAGGGTCCTTCACAAAGGGGGACACTCACAAATGTAACCTCCGCACAAGGCTGCAGTGAGAAATGGTTTGGCTCATTCTACCACTTCATAGATTTACCATCTTATTTATACCTCACACTATTGCACATTCAGCCCAGCCGTGTTCTTTCTGCTGCTGCTGCAACACAATGCAGTGAAGGAATTCAGAGCTCAATTGATCAACTATCACAAAAGACATGGGACTTGTGAAAAAGGATCTCATTTTAGTGCAAGCCCCCACCCTCAGTGAAGTTTTAAACTTATAAGACACAATTTTAATGGAATCTGTGGAGCTATTGACTAAGCTCATAAATCTATGATACAGCATATTTGTTTTACTAATCTATTATTGCAGCGCACGAGTTAAAATTGCTGAAGGCAGCTGTTGCAGTATTTAATATTCTGTACTTCTGGTTTCTTAATTATCCCAACCTTGAGCCTTAGCTTTTGTACTCAAATCTAATTTTAAACTGAAGCGGAAGAGAAGAATGCTACTGAGGACTCTGGCCAACTGAACAATTTCAAGGTTAGTCTAATCAAGACTGCCATCTGCTGGTTTTAAAAAATGCAAACTTGTAGTGTGTGCAAAACCAGGGGTCAGCAAACTTTTTCAGCAGGGAGCCGGTCCACAGTCCCTCAGATCTTGTGGGGGTGCCAGACAAATTTATTTTTTTTGGGGGGGGAATATGAACGAATTCCTATGCCCCACAAATAACCCAGAGATGCATTTTAAATAAATGGACACATTCTACTCATGTAAAAACACGCTGGTTCCCAGACCACCCGCAGGCCGGATTTAGAAGGCGATTGGGCCGGATCCGGCCCCAGGGCCTTAGTTTGCCTACCCATGTGCTAAACAATGCAGACTGCAATGGTAAGCTGCTTTACATTTATAAATGGAACCTGTTGTTTAGTTTAAAGGCAAACAGGTACTCTGCCATATCATCTACAGCTTTTACTCTTATCTAAATGACACAAGAAGCCAAGAGTCAATGAAAATGCAATCAAATGCTTCCAAAGCCATATTGTGGGCACTGGGTGGAGGAAGGCGTGTGTAAGATCATGCATGTGGCACTAAACCATGGTTTAACATTATGTGTGAATCAGTCCACTGTGTCAGTTTCAAAACAAGCCTATTTCAAACCATGGGTTATGAAGCTGGCTTAGTTTAACGTACTTTATACTGCAATCTGATCTATACATGCAAAAATATTTATGTGGCTTCCAAATAATATATTCTCCCTGTCTTCTCAGCCGCATAGCCACTCTAGTGGCAAAGACTTGTTGAGCCCAGAATTATACTTGTCACTGCAGCTGTTACACTAAAATTCATACCAGTGAATTTTGCTGTGAAACTTATGTGCAAAGTAACACCACCCAACTGTTCAGCCACATTTTTCATGTTTGGAAGTAACTGACATGCACTTACTCAGTTTAACTGATCCATCCATTCCCAATAGTACGTTGTCACTTTTAATATCTCTGTGGATAACCTGATTGGCATGTAGGAATTCCAATGCCTGCAAACACTGTATGGAAACAATGGAAGGGATCTTGTCTAGACATGTTCAAAATTCACATTGGCTAGAGACAGTTTAGTAACCTCAAACAATGCTTTACTCACTGGGTAACAAATGATTTGTATAGTCTAGCAATTTTAAAAATTATGTTCCATATTTACAATCTTAACAAGTTGAATACACACAATATGTCCATGATATAAATCTTCACTCATTTTTAATATCAAAAGTTTCCAGCTAAAAACATCAAACAAAACCATTAATAAACATTGACATAATTAAGGTCAATCCACTGTTTTTCAGTGAAAGGTCTTTCATATGCTTACTTCAGAAGGAAGCATGTTTATAGTACAGAAAAATACGGTGCCTTTCCAGTGGTCTATAAAATAATTTGCAATGGGGCACCCTCTATCTCAAAACTTGATTTATGCTGTCTTCCTTCTCTTTATCCAATACACTTTGTTAACTTTTGTCAATTGTGCCATTTGCCAGACTTTGCTTAGTCATTCTCTTCTTTAAAAAGAATGAAAGAACTAATCGCCAGCTGAAATCTCTGCTGAATCTTCTCCGTAGTTTTTGCACTTCATTGATCTCACCTAACAATAGCTGCCTCCACCAGAATCATCACCAAACTCTTCAAACTACTAACCTCTGTTTTTATGGAGAGTGCTACTGCATCCAGTATGTGTTAAATCTCTACAACTGGATCAGCAACTACTCTTCTCCAACACTGTTCTCTATGTGTTCAAATACTTTTCTTCTGTGAAGAGCATTTCATTATATATGCCCTCCCGTGGTCTGAACTGGTACAGACTACATACAGGGATGCCACCTCAGTGAAAACTAGACAGTGTGTACTCTTAAAATGTTGTGGTTTGTATCTCAGAAGATGAAAAGACTTGCATGGCCACTGCTACTTCACTAGGCTCAAACCCAAATGCTGGGCTACAGGCTTCCAACTCCCAGCCTTGATAAACCTGCCTCAGTAATGTAAATGCAATTATAATAAAAGTCAATTAACTAAGGGAAGCAAATTTTATCTTTCTTCAATCAATCACCTACCTCTCGACAGACAGCGGCAATCTGTGCCTCATCCATGCAAGTCTCCGTAACAACATCTGTGAGGGATCCACCAGCCAGATATTCCATTATGACAAACAATTCGTCTTCCATTAGGAAACTGAAGGTAGAAATTGATGAAGTTCAAACATAACAAATTATTGAGACAAAATAATTATTACCATTATTACAACTTTATGTATCACCATGCACAACACAATCTCAATGTGATGGAGAAACACGCCTCAGAAGCCGTCCGACTTCCAAGGCATGTTCAAAAATGGAAGCATTTACTTCCAGGTTGCCAGCGTTCAAAAGCCAAAACGTTCGACTTCTGAAGTGTTTGCCAACCGAGGTTCCACTGTATATGGAAAAGATCCAAAATTGAAGCAATATTTGCAGCAGGAAGGTCTGTGTGCCTGTTTCCAGGAACATCAGTCTTGTATCAGACACTTCCCTTGTCTACAAAATATAGGTCTGGTACATGAAGTTATTAATACAGTGGTACCTCGCAAGACGAATGCCTCGCAAGACAAAAAACTCGCTAGACGAAAGGGTTTTTTGTTTTTTGAGCTGCTTCGCAAGACAATTTTCCCTATGGGCTTGCTTCGCAAGACGAAAACGTCTTGCAAGTTTGTTTTCTTTTTCTTAACACCGTTAATATAGTTGCGACTTGACTTCGAGGAGCAACTCATAGAACGCGGTGTGGTAGCCTTTTGGTTTTAAGACTTTGGTGTTTTGAAGCTTTTCCAAAACTTTCCCGACACCGTGCTTCGCAAGACGAAAAAAATCGCAAGACGACAAAACTCGTGGAATGAATTAATTTCGTCTTGCGAGGCACCACTGTATAAATAATGTCTCTATTATCTAGACTTCTTAAGAAGCTGAACTGATAACCTGACTTAAGACAACAAATGATATAGGGAATAAGGAGTTATTTCAGGCTATATTACAGAAGTATCAGATATTTAAATGTGTTCTGTACCTCAGGAGAGAGGCCAGTCTACTATGCATTGCATATTTATCCCACCCTTCTTCCAAAGACTCAGAGAAGCACCCTGGTCTCTCAAAATTTGCAAGAGATAGAAAAAAGGCAAAAGCGATTTGTCCAAGGATGTAAACTTCACAACCTAGTAAGGTGTTGAACTTGGGTTTTCACGTCCAAACTTTCTAGCTGCTATAGCATGTGTTTTGTTACCTGTCCAAAAAGTTGACTATGTTTGGGTTCTTCAACTCTTTCATTACCAGGATCTCATTGATAATTAACTCCTTCTTGGGTTGTTTCTGAAGATTTATCTGTTTAATAGCAACCTAAAAGGGTGAAAAGGGATTCAACAGAAGTTTATATTCAAAGAAAGACAATTGTAGTATGAACATTTTCAAATGTTACAATAAAAAAGGCAAATGGGTAGTTTCTTTACATTCCTTTTCCTGAGACAACCATTTGGTTGCCATTGACAGATCAACTGATCCAAGTAACTAACATAATCCTCACAGACAAAAGTTGGCAGGACATTTTGGCAGCAAAAGAAATGTTCACCAACAACAAAGTCTGAAACTATGAGAGCCAAGAATGTGCAGGGGTGAACATAAGGTAGAAGAAGAATGAAATAAAAACAACAGCAACAAGACTACACAATTAAGCCTGATAACATGTAACGCTGTGGTTAGAAGTGTAACATTTGGAAGAAAGGAAGTATCTATGATGTGTAATGGGCCCAGTACTAAAATTAGCTCTTATGGTTTGAATCTGAAACAAGGGCACCAGACAGCCAAAAAAGAGGTATAGTGGTATGTGTCCATTTTTTCTCACCCCAAAAATGGGGTCTACAGTAGTTGACACCAATTTTGATTCACATTTATTTTCAAGAAACTCAGTTTTCCACATTTTAAAAGTCATTATTTCAGTTCTTACTAGTTATGAACTAACAGTGACAGATAAAACTGTATTGCAAAAGAAAAAAGAAAGCGCTAGCTCTCCCACAAACTTGGGAAACGGGCAGCTCTCACAAACATCATAGTCACAAATGAAGGCAGCATAACAAATTATAAATTATAATTTAACTCTTTAAACAGAAGCAGCTTTCTATGATAAAAACATGGGAGAGTTTAACAAATTAACTTCCTTTTGGAATTTTGAACAGCCTTCCCAAATGTGGTGCCCTCCAGATGTTATGGACCATAACCCCATCAGTCCTAGATAGCATTCAGGGATGATGTGAGATGTAGCCCAGAAGATTTGGAAGCCACTTGGTTGCAGAAGGCTAATTTAGAACCAATTCCATGCATTTGATTTTTGCAAAATGTTATTTTAAAATTTATCATCTGATTCTACAGTACAAAGCAATTACTTCTGCACACAGCTATGAGGAATTCACTATTGGGAGATGAGTCTTTTAAAAAAAAAAACCCCAAAAAACCAAAGCACAGTAACATTTGATTTGACCACTCTAAAAAGAAAATTCAAAGGTGGTAGAAGGTATATTGTTCCTACCTCCTGTCCTGTTGCTACATCAATGGCAATGAAAACTGTACCCGAAGCCCTGTGAAAAGAAAATACACAATTCTATTAATATCTCTAATGCATATGTGCATGAACAGGTAAAGAGGCTGCACTAACTTTCACTGTACTTCGTTTTTATTCCAGTTCTAGGTTTAAAAAAGTCGGCAGAATAAGATCAATGCCTATACAGTCATACCTCATGTTACGGACGCTTCAGGTTATGTGTTTTCGGGTTACGGATCACGGGAAACCCGGAAGTACCGGAACCGGTTACTTCTGGGTTTCGCCGCTCGCACATGCACAGAAGCGCTAAATTGCGCTTTGCGCGTGCGCAGAAGCGCCAAATCACACCAGCACCTGTGCAGATGCGGCGCTTCAGGATGTGAATGCTGCGGGTTGCGGACGTGCCTCCGACACGGATTATGTCCGCAACCCGAGGTTCCACTGTAAAATAAGGAATAGGAAAAGCAAGACCTTCCTTTTTGCAATATTATCTAGACACAGACTACTAGTCAGATAACTGATGCTTAAGATAAGTTAATTCCATACTCCACTGCCCCAGTAACAGTCCAAAGATAGACAGCAAACAAATGGCAAGCTGACTGGAATTCTTTTTCAAATGTTCCTCCTCATCCCATAAAGTAAAGGGTAAGTAGCAAAGCACTCAAAATAATTGTTTCAAAATTTCCACTTCTGTTGGAGGTTTGCATCTGGTTGTTGTTATTATGTATACTAATCTATTGTTGATACTTCTGGTTTTGTAAACAGAAACCAAATGCCAAATAAGACAAAGAAAACGGTACTTCCACTAACTCATTTTATAGTCAGTACTCACCCCTGTCCTATTTTTTCGTATCTTGTATATTTTTTCTTGGGATCTCCTATACTCACAATAGTTCCTAAAAAGAAAATTCCATGTGGAGTATTATAAACCAACTAAGATGCACTATTGACTTTCGTTGGAAAGCTAACACATAACATTTCAATCAATAAAACAGTCAACACTGATTCAGTTCCTAAGTTGTTCCTCTGTTCAATTAAAGGGGGCGAGGACTTTCATCAACTCCCTTTTCAACCTGATGCCTCCTGAGCCATCCCATATCCCACATCATATTTCAAGGATATTCCTAACCTCAGGAGCAAACTTTCAGGAGGTACAGGAGGCAACAGAAGGAAGGAAGAAGCAGGAAAACCTTGTTCCATGAATGCAAAGTGTTCCGTTCACAGAAGGAAAGTTAAGATCCACACCATTTTATCTTCCTCAGTGATGTAGCAGTGATCTAAACCTTTACAAGAACCTCAATTGTTCATATCACTCAAGGCATATATTGCTTCATTATGATTAGCAGGTGTGATTACGAGCATTTGGAAGTCAGTTTTTGCTTACTTTACTGCTGACAATGGAACTAGTATGAGCAACATATACATGCCTAGAAGATTATTGAAATGCTGAAACTTCTATAAAATCCCACAACTATTCTCACAAATCAAACCACTTCACGCAAGCTATCATTTTAAACAGAAGAAGACTCTTCATGATCATCTCAAGACACTGCTCTAAGCAGCTACCAAATGTAGTGTAACAAAATATTGATAAATGCCTTTCCATTAAATATTGACACTTTCAAAAGACAACATAATATGAGTATTTTGGATAGTAAAAGCAGTTTTCAACATAGTCCAGACAGACACTTTTTCATTACTTTCTAAAACACTGTCATATCTTGTCCCTATCCTGGATAGGAAGAGCTGTACCTATATAGGTCTATTCATACAAAAGTGTTTGCTTCCTGTGAAAAATAATGTGAGAACAGTGCAAACACAGGATATGCTCCTTAACAATGCATCAGCTATAAGTTCCTGCTTCAGCATTTCCTCAGCTCCTGGATTGCTAGCTACCAATAACAATGCTCACACCATTCACAGAATGCCTCTTTTCAAGAGAATCTGCTCACAGTTCCTACAAAGGGGTGAAAAGATGTCAAAATAAGGTTAAATACAGTGTGTGACTAGAAGGCTCAATGGCTGATTCACCATACAGAATACTCAGTACATATGACTTTGGGCTAATCATATACATATCCTTAGTCAAGTGCTGACTTAGAATTTCAACTTACGCAGCTTTTCCGTGATTTCTTCATCTGACATCTTAACTTTCTTCTTCTGCTTATCTGCTGATTTAGCAACTGTGTCACCCGTGTCACCAGAAGGTGCTGGGATGGGATCTATTACAGATCGCGTATAAATCTGCAAGGAAATATCATAATTATAAAGCCATTATATTATTATTAACAAATCTCTTTTCAGGTAGAAACTTGCCACAAATACTTAACATCTCTCATGAAAGATTTATGGCTATCCTTTTAGTCAATGTGGCTCCACAGCTACTACAGCCTATAGGCTGATATGAATATCTATAGGTTTTTGTAGCATTAGGGACTTAATTACAACTGACCCAACTGAGTGCTGTATATTACAGTAGCATACAGTCGTATGAATCCTTTATAGAACTAAGCTCTAAATGGAGTATGGTAGATGAGAACTTTCCCAAACAATTTTGCAAATTACAGCTAACATTCCCTTGTATACAACTACGAAAACATTCTTTGCAAACTCAGAAACAACTATACAAACCAAGCTCTCACTGCACAAGTAATGCTGTTTCAAAGTAAAAGCCAGTCACCCCCTCTAATAGGAAACTCAAGTGACAAGAGATGGAACCAGAGTGGAGGCACTGAACAACAAGAGGCAGGTATCAACATGCTCAGCAAAACAACCCCACCCCCCAGCTCAATGGAAGGGGAGAGATAGAATGCTCGATTTGGAAGAAATGTCTGGCTGAAAGCCTCCACAAAGAGCACTGCAATTATGAGAAAGGATTCTACCACTACTTTACATATTTATATAGCATTGCCGCCTCCCTTCAAGAGCTTCACATATACCACATAGGTCAATATTATTTCCAAGCTATAGATTACGACCACTGCTGAAATCTAGGGATTATTTTTTTTTCTGGCTAAAGTGAGATCTGAATACGAGACTCCCACATCATGTTCCCATTGTACCTGCAGACTGGTAAGTTATGGACAGAAACTATTAGGTGAAATAAAACAACTCACTGATTTTGTATGATCTGGTCGTGGGGCGATAACTGGAGGTGCCACTTCTTCATCATCTTCCTCTTCAGGTGCTGCAGGCTCTGACCCTTTTGCATTGGGCTAGAAGTTTTGAGTTTTGTTTTGTTTTGTTTTTAAAAAAGAAAGAAGTAAAAGAAATTAAGCCCTTCTATAGAACATTTAGAAAGTTCACTATAAGGAAGTATACAAAAATATAAGATCAGAATAGTATGGCGTGGGAAACTATTTTTTCTGTTGAGAGTTGCATTGCCTCTGAACTAATCTATTGAGGATGGTATACCTGCAGTAGGTGGGGCCAAAGCCACCACTTCTCTCTTTTCTCCTTTGTACAACAGACTGCTAGGAGAGAGGCAGATCACTCTTGCCAGGGGTCTGAACTGATTGCTTGCAGAGACCTTTTAAAATTAGGCTAGGAGCTGCATGCAGCCCTATAGCCCAGTTTGTCTATCCTGATAAGAGCATTTCAAGCAGCTCCTCACTGCTACTGCCTTTGAACTCCCTCCACCCACTCCCCAAGTTCTCTGTGGAGTGAATAAAGCATATAATCTCTCCCCCTTCCCTAGGGGCTTTTGCAGGAGGCAGTAACAACAGCACATGAAGCCAGCAAAAGCACTGGCCAAAGAAGCCCAACTCAAAAGGACAAAAAATAACCTCTCAACGGTCGAAATGAGGAAGGAAAGGAGAAGCAATGTTTTGATGCACACTGGACCGGGGGGGGGGGGGGTTCTTTGCTATTGGCAAGCAAGACAGTGGATATATGGAACTTTGGTTTTAATACAACATCAGCCTCTGAACTTGTCAACCACGTGACAAGTGACGTAATAAATTACAGGAGTGGACCAAGAAAGAATCCCATCTACTGATGTATCCAGCTTTATTTTTTTTAAAAAAAAGTCAGGTGAAGTGTCACTCTGGTGACTCATACCTCAAACCAGACAATACTCAAAAAAGCAAAGCTTGAAAGCTACTATATCTCACTAGGCTTGATTCACACCAAGAACTGCAATAGAGCAGTATGAATACTTCTGAGAAATGTAATAAAGCACACTTACTGCTGGTGCTCCTGAGGGGAATCCATCTTTGTCTAAAAAAAGAGAAATTTGAAAATTTAACCAACAGAAACACTGAAAGATTTTAAGGCATTTTACAATAGGAGTAACAATGCTAAATGAAAAGTACTGGGGTCTTTCTATAGGAGAGATTGAAATGTGAGTTAAGAACTCTATTCTTCTTTCATGCTCTCAGTAGAATAGGTTCACTTTTTTTAAAACCCAGCTTTCTAGATAAATGTGGATATAATCTGTGCCTAAAACATTTAGAGCCAGTTTTATTTTCTATTAAACGAAACCTCTACATAAACTGAAAGTCAATACCAAAACTGTTACATCAAAACTAAGGATAATCTGGAAAAGCAAAGTTTTATACGTGTAGGTAAACCCAAACTTGTTGACCCTTAACTAATGTGAATTCAAACCCCAAATTAAGGGCAAGCCAAGGCTTCATCTCATTTTGGTATTATAAACCTTGTTTGTCTGTTGTTGTTTTTTATTTACATGTTCACATTTGATGTTAGTTCACAGTACTTTTGTGAGCCTATGTAAAAACTGTGTGATATCAAATTCATTAGTAATGTGAGAATATTCCAACTATTCTGAAAATCTGTCCTCATCAAATACAGAGAATACCTGAAAGTATCAAGTAGCATATGGGTTGTATCCAACTCAACACACTCAGAGCAGAGTGAAATCGGTAAACTTAACTGCACTGATTTTTATGGGTTAACTTTGAGAATGACTTAGGGTTGTATCCAACTATGTCTGCCTGAAAGCTTAGTTAATAAGCTTTAGAATTTCAAGACCCTTCCCCCTCAATTTTGTACAAGGGCTCACTACAATTCCCCATCCTATTATTAATGACAACATATCAATATACACAATGATTCCTGCAAGTTTTTTACAACCCTTCTTCTAAACCTCCATCCTTTGGGAATCAATTGTGTGTATCTCAGTTTAACTTTCTACTAAAACGAAAAACGTAAGAATACAAAGATAGGGATCATAGACTCAAAAATGTTTAAGAAAATTAATGGATATTACTTATCCTTTCACGATCAAGTACTTCAAATAAACTTCTTCTAACTATTTAAACTAAAGGGGCAGTAATGGAACTTATCAATCATTAGAATCTTGGCCTACTGAAAGCTGGTGCCCCACACTGCCATTTCTCCAAAGCACTATACACTGAAGAGTTTCACTGCCGACTGCTTCCTCATTTTAGAAGCAAATTCTTTAATGCTTCTCAAGAACAATCTGAGGCTCCCCCTGAATTTTCCCACAGTATTCTAAAGATTACCTGTAGCAGAAAAACTCAAATATTTCTGTCTTGCTGTGTCTTTAGAATCATAGAACTTCAGCACATCAAGGACAGCCTGAGGATTCTTCTTCTGTTCTAGCTTGGTGATATTTGACGTCTGTAGCAGCCGAGCCCACTGCTCTGGCATTCCCTAGGAAAAGAATACAAAATTACATCTAAAGTATAAAATCCAGAATAAATAATTCAAATGGACACAGGACAAAATCACTATTTCAAGATCCTACAGACAATACAATGCAACAAGTGAGCATAACCAAAATTTCATAAAGCTGTCCAGTTTGTTGTTATAATGAGAAACAGTATTTTGCAATATAACATCTATTTTAAGTTAAATTTATCCCATTTCCTTATTTCAGTTTTCTACAGCTTTCCTATTGGTGCAACAGGAGAAATATGTATTGAGAATGTTTTTCAGTGATGAAATACACTGGTAACAACAGTGCTTAAAAAGAAAATATTCTATTTCTTATCAACCATAAATTAGTACACACTGAACAGAGAGAAGCTTGGCATACTTACAGTGAATTCTCCTGTAACTGCATCAAAGCCAACATGAATGGTATGTTCAAAGTCTGATGGGGGAGAGATTTCAGGCCTTTCTTTTTCCTTTTTCCTACTCCCTACAAGAACAACAGAATAGTCAGCCTAGGAAAACAGCTGTAAAACAGCTCTTTTAAAATTTAGTAAACCTAGCCAGCAAATATTCTTTAAACATAACTATTAGGTGCACAAATATGCCCCATGATTCTAGTAACCAGGATGTCTTGAAACAGACATGTAACAAATTTCAGCTAAATCACATAGAAGGAAACTCAAACACCCATCCTGACACTCACTAAGCCCCCCAGCCTCTCTCAATTTTTTATTTTAATTGAGGGCATTTGGTTGTTTGCAGGAGGGGGCTGCCTGCTTTTTTGGGTCTGCATTTCTTGCTTGGTAGGGTGAAGGCATTTTGCCTAGATTTTCCTGCATCTTTGTGTTTGCAATTCAAACTGGAAAGTGACCATTTGAAACTAGTTTCTGCATGTTGGCTCTGTAACATTGTACTTGTGTGAGCTAAGTACATTTGCAACCTATATTTTTCACCTCAAGTCTAAGCTTACAATTAGGTGGGCAGTTAAAGACTATAACGAAGATTAAGATGTAAGCATTTTCATTTCCCCCGGCCATTTTCTCCAAAACATTTGCCTAATTTTCTCAAATCCTCCAAACTTTCAGAACATTAAAGCTGCACAAGTCTGTAACGCAGCTCTACTAATCTTAGTCAAAAGTGGGCTTAGTGAAATTTACAGGACAATCCTAACCATGTCTACTCAGAGGTGAGTCCTGTTAAATTCAACAGGGCTTGCTCCTAGACAAGTGGGATTAGGACTGCAGCTGTCAGTGACAGTAGGAAATACTGCGCTAGATGGGCCTATAGTCTGACTTCAGGTATTAAATTTGTTTTAATAAAGATGATTCCAGGGAGGATTGCCTCCAGCCAACTAGACAAGAGTGTACGGTATGTTCAGTTGGTTGTAATTCTACAGGCTGCTTCTCTTCCCATTCCCTCGTAAAAAGGAGGGTGGTTCTCCATTTCTTAGGCTACATACCAGTCTGTTTCTCTCTGCCTCCCAGAGAAGGGAGAGGAAGAGAAAACATAGCTCCAATGTGCTGCCTCCAGGTAGACTGTCACAGGACTCTATTTGAATCTACCCTGGCTGGAATAGCCTGCTTTTGGTAAATCTTTTCCTAGCAGGAAGAGGGACAGAGAGAAAACCTGCATGTACTCAACCAGATTGTTTTCCCCACTCCTAGGGAGAGGGACCGACAGAAAGAGAACACAAACCCAAGGAGTCCCACTGCATTTGCCCAGCTGAGTAACAGTGAAGCTGGTTGCTACTTTTTTGCGTGCCAGTGCAATCACCGAAATGAGATCCATGTTGCACTGTTCTGTAAGTCATGTGTTTCCTAGCTAAAAGTATGCATATGGCACAATGGAGTCGCAAAGGGAAGAATGTCTTGAACCCACACAATGCAGCATCTTACCTTTTTCAGTGCCAGAGAAAATAGAGATGATTTTGTTCCTAGGCTTTTTCTCTTCTGGAACAGAGGGCAGGGGTTTCAAGCTATGATTAGCAGATAATGGATCTTTCCCTCCTGAACTGAAGATAGTGCTGCTCATCCGAACAGGTGGAGCTGGTGGCTTATCTTCGAGTTCTCCGTTGTCAGACATGATACTTAATGGCTAGTCAATGCACTGCAATTAAATAAAACACAGAGTGAGTAGAGATAGCAAAAGCATGTTACACCTTGTTTACTCGTCTTGAATTCCAAGTCTTGAACACATTGTTAATATTCTCTATAGGGGAAAGAGATCTTATTAGAAATGTGCAACAGATTCAAATGAATCCTGAACAGAAGCATGGTGTTTCAGACAGATTCAGGCAAGTAGTATCTTCCTAAGGCATCTTAAACCAAATCAGGGACCTCTGAAGGAATCTGGGGCATCTTGGAAATTCAGGCATCGAAAAAAAGCACTGCAGATAGTACACCTGCAAAAAATGAAACATTTGTACCCAAGTTTCCACGTAAGAAAAATATTTGGGCAGAGCAGGATAGGGGTGGGGGAGAGATCTCTGTGACTAACAGTTCTAGTTTCTAATCAAAGATACTGTACTTATTTTATCAGGGTTCTCCAGTCACAGTGTTTTGGGGGTGGGACACTGAAACAAGACATCACCTTGATCTTTTACCAATTGCTGCTTGTTTGGAAAATGTTGACTGTTCAAGTCCTTCTGCCTCTGTCACATGCCCTCACATCTACTACTGTCAAATCCGTTTTGTGCTTAAATTTCTATGCCTTTTGCTGCCAACTAAGCAAAGCATACGCCTGAAGCTGGTTTTCTTCCCTTTCATCTTGACTCACCAGCCCTTCCACCTACACTTCTGAAATTTTAACATTATTTTCCTGGTGGCACCTTAATATAGAATGCCATTTTCATACTAACATCACTGCCCACAAAACCACAGAAAGAAAATGCCTTTGAGTTCTTTCCAGCACCACAAAAGCATCAACTTTAAAGATGCATCAGACAACACACACACTGAACAGAATCTAGATTTTATTCTGTATGTTGTAACCTCCCAAAGAGATTATTGACACGATACAAAATTTGGGTACCACATTTTTTGGCAATAGAGGTACAGTAGTGCCCCGCAAGACGAACGCCTCGCAAGACAAAAAACTCGCTAGACGAAAGGTTTTTTCGTCCGCGATTTGCCTCGCAAGACGAATTCCCCTATGGGCTTGCTTCGCAAAACGAAGCTTGCCCCGGGGACAGCGGGTCTTCTCTTTTGAAGCAAGGGGCTGCGGGGAGATAGCGATCTCCCTGCAGCCCCTTGCTGCAAAAGACGTCCGGGGGAAGCGGGGAAGCGAAGCGCTTCGCTTCCCCGCTTCCCCCGGACCTCTTCTGAAGCAAGGGGCTGGGGGGAGATAGCGATCTCCCTGCAGCCCCTTGCTGCAAAAGACGTCGGGGGAAGCGGGGAAGCGAAGCGCTTCGCTTCCCCGCTTCCCCCGGACCTCTTCTGAAGCAAGGGGATGGGGGGAGATAGCGATCTCCCTGCAGCCCCTTGCTGCAAAAGACGTCGGGGGAAGCGGGGAAGCGAAGCGCTTCGCTTCCCGCTTCCCCCGGACCTCTTCTGAAGCAAGGGGCTGGGGGGAGATAGCGATCTCCCTGCAGCCCCTTGCTGCAAAAGACGTCGGGGGAAGCGGGGAAGCGAAGCGCTTCGCTTCCCCGCTTCCCCCGGACCTCTTCTGAAGCAAGGGGATGGGGGGAGATAGCGATCTCCCTGCAGCCCCTTGCTGCAAAAGACGTCGGGGGAAGCGGGGAAGCGAAGCGCTTCGCTTCCCGCTTCCCCCGGACCTCTTCTGAAGCAAGGGGCTGGGGGGAGATAGCGATCTCCCCCCAGCCCCTTGCTTCAGAAGAGGTCCGGGGGAAGCGGGAAGCGAAGCGCTTCGCTTCCCCGCTTCCCCCTGACGTCTTTTGCAGCTGTTCCGAAGTGGGGCGGGGGGGCGGGGTCACCTGCCCCAGCCGCCCCACTTCGGAAAGCTGTTCCGAAGCGGGGAGGGGGGGCGGGGACATCTGCCCCAGCCGCCCCACTTCGGAAAGCTGTTCCAGGAACAGCTCCATAGGAACCTCCATAGGCGCCCGTCACCTCTCCAGCCAGGAGAGCGCGCGCGGGGCTAAACCAGCCCCCCGCGACCCTCTCCCAGCTGGAGAAGTGACGCGCGCCTATGGCAGGAGCCTCCATAGGCGCCCGTCACCTCTCCAGCCGGGAGAGCGCGCGCGGGGCTAAACCAGCCCCCCGCGACCCTCTCCCAGCTGGAGAAGTGACGCGCGCCTATGGCAGGAGCCTCCATAGGCGCCCGTCACCTCTCCAGCCAGGAGAGCGCGCGCGGGGCTAAACCAGCCCCCCGCGACCCTCTCCCAGCTGGAGTTGTGACGCGCGCATATGGCAGGAACCTCCATAGGCGCCCGTCACCTCTCCAGCCGGGAGAGCGCGCGCGGGGCTAAAGAAACCATAGCCCCGCGACCCTCTCCCAGCTGGAGAAGTGACGCGTGACTATGGCAGCAGCCTCTGAAGGATGCACCGAAGCCTGGCGTGGGGGGGGGGCGGAGAGACCTTCTCCCCGCGCCAGCCTTCGGATGGCTGTCCTGAAGACTTGGGGTGGGAGAAGGGTTTTCCTTCCCACCGCCAACATTCAGAATGCTGTTCTGAATGTTGGCGGTGGGGAGGAAAAACCCTCCTCCCACGCAAGCCCCGGGAACAGAGGGAAAGCGCTGCGCGCCTTCCCCTCTGTTCCCGTACCTGTGCTGAAGGCTTGCGGTGGGGAGAAAAGCCCTTCTCCGCACCGCCAGCCTGGCAAGCGGTTTCCCTAGGAACGCATTAATTGATTTTCAATGCATTCCTATGGGAAACCGTGCTTCGCAAGACGAAAAATTCGCTAGACGACAAAAATTGCGGAACGAATTAATTTCGTCTTGCGGGGCACCACTGTATTTCTCACTGCAGCACTTCATACCTGCAATACTCCCATAATTCTGCAAAACAGCAGTGAGTAGAAACACACAACTTTGATCATTCTGCAGCAAAAAGGTAATAAGGCAGTAGACTGTGAAGCAAACAGAACTGAAAAGAGCCTAGGAAATGGCTTGCAATTAAGTCTCTTTCTATTTGCTTGATGATGGTTTTCCAGTGCTTTGTTTTGGGTGGATGTAACATGACCCCTCCAACAAGGAAAGGTGCTCTGTCACCCAATTAACATAGCCCATGAAATCGTCTTATTCTTTTGTTTTTTTAAAAAAAAAATATCTTGCTAAATGAACATCAGGCTGGATGCAAAATAAATGTGTATATATGTTTAATTGTTTCAAACAGGTAATTTGAAAGCTGTTTCCAGCATTTGGGTCACTATTCTAAAATGTTTGTATCAAATATAGAATCTCTCTTGCTGTCGTGGGGCTCATTATTTCATTAAACTGCCTAATAGAAGTCACAGGTGCACAAATAATTACTACTCATCAAACAAGACTATTTTGATTAGAAAGGTGACTTAATTCCTGCAACTAAATAGTTACCAGGCAAGTTCAAATCAATGTGAATGAAATTCAGCACTCTGAAACCCCCCTGCCATCAATAACAATAGATGCCAACAACCGGCATATTTCTGCTCCTCCCCTCTTCCTGTTACACTCCTGGAAAATAAGCTATGGTCTGGTTTGTTGAATCATGCGACTTAGGTTTGCAATTTGTTTCCTCCAAACTACAAACTTTAAACCAAAGACCAAACATTGGCTTCTGTTCTGGTTTGTCAAGAGAAAAACCAACCATGAGCCTGAATCCGGATGACATTTCTCAGCAGCACAACAGAAACGGGGATTAAGATAATTGCCTATTATTCTACAGTGTGCACCAGCATTTTGCTCACTCACATTAAACCACAGCTTATTTTAACTATGGTTTAATGTGAAGCATGAACCAGGCCATTGGATTAAAGGAGCGTTTCTATGTAAATGAAGAACTAATTTGATCATTTCTCAAATGTGGGGAGTTACATTCTACCTCGTAAACAGAGGCAATTCATCTTCATTGGATGAAAAACACTTGCTGTAGTACAGTGGTGCCCCGCAAGACGAATGCCTCGCAAGACGGAAAACCCGCTAGACGAAAGGGTTTTCCGTTTTTGAGTTGCTTCGCAGGACGAATTTCCCTATGGGCTTGCTTCACAAGACGAAAATGTCTTGCGAGTCTTGAGATTTTTTTTCGCTCCCCCCCCTTTATCTAAGCCGCTAAGCCTTTAATAGCCTTTTAGCAGCTAAGCCGCTAAGCCTTTAATAGCTGCTAAACTGCTAATAGCGCTAATCCGCTAAGGCGCTAATAGGGTTGCTTCGCAAGACGAAAAAACCGCTAGACGAAGACACTCGCGGAACATCATTCTAAAGTTTAGAGTAAGCAATGTAAGAGGTATATTTGCCCAGTTTTATGCAGGAACAAACAGCCACCCACCACAATATGCTTTGATTTACACCAAGGACTACCAATTTATTCAGTGTGGCAAGCCTGATCTCTTACCAAGATCCTCCCTCAGTCATATTATTGCTGCTTCAAGGCATCCTCACCAGGGATGGTCTAGCCCTCACTTCACAAAGGAATCTGGCAGGTATTCCTCTCAGTGCAAAGCAAGGGGATGATCCAGAGATCTCTTTGTAGCAGAAACCTGAGGGTGGTCCATCTCAGGCTATGTTGGGATAGTTGGGGGGGAGGGAATCACATCTGGCAACCAATGTGCCCCTTTGGTTTCAAATAGTACATGGATAAAAGGTAAAGGGACCCCTGACCATTAGGTCCAGTCGTGACCGACTCTGGGGTTGCGGCGCTCATCTCGCTTTATTGGCCGAGGGAGCCGGCGTACAGCTTCTGGGTCATGTGGCCAGCATGACTAAGCCGCTTCTGGCGAAGCAGAGCAGCACACGGAAACGCCGTTTACCTTCCTGCCAGAGCAGTACCTATTTATCGACTTGCACTTGACGTGCTTTCGAACTGCTAGGTTGGCAGGAGTAGGGACCGAGCAACGGGAGCTCACCCCGTCACGGGGATTCGAACCGCCGACCTTCTGATCGGCAAGTCCTAGGCTCTGTGGTTTAACCCACAGCGCCACCCGCATCCCTAGTACATGAATAGAGGAGTCCAAAAAGC